TTGAGCATTATATATGTATATATATATACTATATTGATAAAAGTATTGGGACGCCTGCCTTTACACACACATGAATTTTAGTGGCATACCAGTCTTAGTCTGAAGGGTTCAATATTTAGTTGGCCCACCCTTTGCAGCTAGAACAGCTTCAACTCTTCTGGTTTAGGAGTGTGTTAGTGGAAACGTTTGACCATTTTTCCAGAAGCGCATTTGTGAGGTCAGGCACTGATGTTGAACGAGAAGGCCTGGCTTACAGTCTCCGCTTTAATTCATCCCAAAGGTGTTCTATCGGGTTGAGGTCAGGACTCTGTGAGGGCCAGTCAAGTTCCTCCACCCCAAACGCACTCATTCATCCATGTCTCTATGGACCTTGCTTTGTGCACTGGTGCACAGTCATGTTGGAACAGGAAGGGGCCATCCGAAACTGTTCCCACAAAGTTGGGAGCATGAAATTGTCTTAAGAGTTCCCTTCACTGGAACTAAGGGGTCAAGCCCAACCCCTGAAAAACAACCCCACACCATAATCTTTACACTTGGCATAATGCAGTCAGGCAAGTACCGTTCTCCTGGCAACAGCCAAACCCAGACACATTCATGGTAATGCCAGACAGAGAGGCATGATTCGTCACTCCAGAGAACACATGTCCACTGCTCTAGAGTCCAGTGGCGGCGTGCTTTACACCACGGCATCCGACACTTTGCATTGCACTTTGTGATATAAGGCTTGGATGCAGCTGCTTGGCCAAGGAAGTGCTCATTCCATTCTCCATTAAACTCTCTACACACTAAGGCCACATGAATTTTGGAGGTCTTTAGCTATTGACTCTGCAGACAGTTGGTGACTTCTGCGCACTGTGCGCGTCAGCATGCGCTGACCCCACTTTGTCATTTTACGTGGACTACCACTTTGTGGCTGAGTTGCTATTGTTCTCAGTTGCTTCCACTTTGTTATAATTCCACTAGCAGTTGGCGTGGAATATTTAGTATCAAGGATTTTTTTTTTAATCAATATACATTTATACTATATATAAATTTTTTTTACATTTTTACATGTTACTTTGGGTCTCATGGTGCTCTACTGCAATGTATGAGTGGCCAGCTCATGAGAGGCACCTATCCCCATTTAGTTTTTTTCATGTAGTCACATCGTGGGCATTTTTGGAGGAGTCACTTGTATCCATGGGAATGTTGGGTATTACAGATCATTCGGACTTTCCATCAACAGGTCCCATTGTGTTTCCGCTCCCTAGCTGACACACTTCCGGTCCCGCCGAATGGGACTGTGTCCCTCACGGATGATGCACTTTCGGTGCGCCATCTCTGTGCGGCCGACAACAACTTCCTGGTTTTGCTTCCAGGAAGTGTTCATGGCAGTTGACATATTCTCTTTCTGTGTCCTCTCCACCGGTGAATGATATTGGTTTATTCATTATTTAGCAAGCAATCTATTTATTTATGTATCGAGTGAAAAGGTCTTTCCTGTGTGTAGTAGTGTTACCTGGAACACTTTTAGTCATTCTCATATTGCCGACATGATGATATGTTTTTATTATTTTTTAATTGTTTTTACATTAATTGAGTCTGGGCTGCCACCATTTTGGAACTAAGGGGTCAGCAGGGGCATTTACTGCTAGGCTCCACCCACTGTGTGTCCATGTGGAAGGAGCCTGGTGCTTACCCCTTACCCATGGATATATATAGGCTGTCAGCAGTTCAGGTTTATTCGGCTCTGAGGAAGGGAGTAAAGTTCCCGAAACACATCAGCGTCTTCAACCAGAAGGTTCCAGGATGGGACCCAATGATTCCATACCAAAGCTTTATTCAATGCCTGTTTTTACATTTGGTTTGTAGGTATCCATTTGTCATCTCTTTTTATTAAAACATATTTATCACGGTAATGCACAAGGAGTGTACGCACACTTGTGTGTTTTTCTAGTGGTTTAAGGAATTCCCTGATCTGAGGAGGTCTGCACCGACACCTGTGATCCATTACGTGAGACTGTATCCAGCATCCTGATTTGAGCGCTGCTGTGATTTAAATAGAAAACTATAAAGGTACATTAAATACAAGAAGCAGCCAGGATACTGGTTTCAAAGGACCTTATGGGTTTTCTAAAGAGAGAGCTCAGCAGAAGCTGTTTAGTTTCAGACTATCACTCTCTAATGGAAAATTCCAACATTTCCTTCTGGCAGAGATGGGGATAAGTCATTCTTCTAACTCCTTTGTTTGCATGTTTAAATGTCAGCTTTTAGCTCTATAAACAGGACTGGTGCTACCACTTGGTGAACTAGGCAGCTGCTTAGGGTGCACTGCCGCCTAGGGCGCAGCCGTGGCCACTGGTTTCCCTGCTCTACGGCACGGCCAGATCTGGGGGGGGTGCTGGGTTGGGCTAAGACCACCCAGATTTTAGTTGTGCCCCCAGGCCTGTCTTTCCATGGACACTGTGCCTGGCCACCGAGGGCCTTCCCCCATCCTCGCACTCACGCCTGGGACAAGGGGAGATTAGCCTGGAGGAGTAAGCCTGCAAAAGAGAAATACAGGAGAGAGCCAGGAGGTGCGGGCTGTGCTCTCCCTTTCAGTGCTCCATAAAGCAATCCTCCACAAAGCAGAGGACACAGAATTGCTGTTACATTAGCATGTTTGGTTCATTCCCTGGCTCCCCGCTGACGAGAGATGAGCCCAATCCAAGAGCAATCCTGTGTCATCTGCTATATGGAGGATTGCTCCACTGACAGGAGTGAGAGAACAGTGCAACCTGCATCTCTACTTGGTTTCCCGCCTCTATGTTCAGGGAGGGGGAACTTACAGTCTAGGCAAACAGTGCAAAATGATTGGGGGTTGGGGGTGGGGGTACAAACATTATGTGGGAGATGGGGACTCTTTGTTCTGGGAAGAGTAGTGGGGATGATAGGAGGGGGGTGTAATTTGTGCACAGAGAAGAAATGGGGGGGATATGTGCTAGGAGTAGGAGGAAGGCGAGGTTTTGGGGAGGGGGGTGTTTGGGGTGGGATTTGCGCTAAAAGAAGAGGGGGATTTGGGTATGATGGGAGGATTTGATTCTGGGAAGGGTAATTTGGAGGGGTTTTACCTAAAGGAGGGTTTGGGAAAATTTCTCCTAGGTAGGGGAATTGAAGGAAGAGGATTGGTGCTGGGAGGGGGGATTGAGGGGATTTGTGCTAGGAAAGAGGATTTGGAGGGGGGATGATTTGTGCTAGCAGGGGAAATTGGACGGGGTTGTGGTAATAGGGGGGATTTGGAGGGAATTTGTGCTAGAAGAGGAGGTTGTGGGGGGGGGGGGAGGTTGTGCTAAGAGAGGGATTGGGGGGGAATTTGTGCTAGGAGAGGGGGATTGGGTGAGAGGGGAATTTGTGTTAGGAGAAGGGGAATGGAAGGAATTGTACTAGGAGGGGAGAATTGGGAGGAGTTGTGCTAGGGGGGGCGGGGGGAAGGATTTGTGCTGGGAAGGGTAATTTGGAGAGCGTTGTGCTAGCAGGAGGGATTTAGGGGCTTTGTGCTAGGAGGCAGGATTGGGGGGGGGGTTATGCAAGGAGGGAGGATTTGGGGGAGAGGAATTTTTCTAGGGTGGAAAATTAGAGGGGAAAGAGGATATGTGTTAGAGGTGAAGAAGAACTACAGGCAGGGGCGGACTGACCATTTGGAAACTCGGGCACTGCCCGAGGGCCCGGGGTCAGTAGGGGGCCCCATGAGATGCCCCTGGTACCTTTTTCATAGGGTTGAGTTTGGGCAAGGACACAGGGGCCCCATGATCCCCTATTGCCCGGGGGCCCCATGAGTTGTCAGTCCGCTCCTGACTACAGGTGAAGTTAAATTTTTTGGGGGGATACAAGCAGCTGGTTTTCCTTAGGGCGCAAAACAGTCTAGCATTATCCCTGTCTATAAACATTTTTTTTTGCAAAACATCTTAGGTCAGCCTAGTAAAGAGACCCAATAGCTTAACCTGTTGTCTGAAAATGACATTTTCAGATGCGATATTCCATTATTTATTTTTTTAAGAAATGTAAAATATTTTTACTGAATATTTTGTTTTTCTCTACATCACCTTATTACGATAACCGTGACCTTCCTGGGGCCGTGGCTTTGCTTACATCCTTCTTGACAGTACTAAGGACTCTTATATTTGAGTAGCAGTTTCCACCATAACCTGAAAAGTAATCCATTGTGGATCACTTTTCAGAGAGTGGCAGAGCAGAGTTGATCCTGCTGCCTACTTTAGCTATTATTTTTATTTTGGGCTGTTTATCTTGCAGTTGCATTGCAGACCCATTAAATTTGCTGCCACCTGTCAAACTCAACACGGCAAGTTGAATTTGCTATGGCCACAAAGAATTGTGCTTGTGGCATGTTATGTTTTAGATAAGCAGTCAATTTTCACTGCTCCCCAGCCACCTGTGTGAAAACGCCCTAAGGACGGTGTAAGACTCATCAGCAACAGCATTGCTAAATAGAACATCCAACTTCTTCTTCTGTATCACTCCCTCTGTGGCCAAAATGCAGAAGTCTCACTTGCCAGTGGCAGATCAGCGTTGGAGGAATACCAAACTGGCCCAACCAGCGAGGGAGCAACGCCATAGAAACAAATGCTGCCGCCGGCGAGTTGTCACAGTTGATGGGAAATCTAGCAAGTGTTTTAAAATCAAGAGAACAGATGATCACACATCACATTTGCAGTGTTTGCAAAAGAGGTCTGCGCATGTCAGAGAGCCATCCTACAGAATCCTAGCTTCAAGCCTTGGGTCCTTATGTACATTTTTACCTTGTTTTCTATACCTTAACATTATATGATATACCTTATTATCTATATTAGGATGATAGAACCCTTAACTACAACTACTTGCCAACCGCAGATAGCCGAATGACAGCTACACTGCGGCCGGCCAGTTCTGGGAGGGCGTCATATGACGTCCTCCCAGAACGCGCTCTCCTGCGCGACCCGAGGGCCGCGCCCCCAGCAATCTCTGTGACCGCTGTGTCCTATGGACACAGCTGATCACATGATGTGGTAAAAGGCCAATCACAGCGGCCTTTTACCACGTGATCAGCCGTGTCCAATGACACGCTGATCACCGGGAAATGCAATTGCCGGTTCTCGGCTGCACTTTCCTCACACTGTCAGAGCGTGAGGAAAGTACTGCCGAGAACCGGCAGTTGTCAGAGCAGGGATCGGCACCGATCATCAGGGCACTGATGATCAGTGCCCTGATGATCGGTGCCCAGCAGTGCCACCCACCAGTTCCGCCCACCTGTGCCCAGCAGTGCAACCACCTGTGCCCAGCAGTGCGCCCACCTGTGCCCAGCAGTGGACCCTCCTGTGCCCAGCAGTGCACCCACCTGTGCCACCCAGCAGTGCCACACACCTGTGCCCAGAAGTGCCACCTATCTGTGCCCAGAAGTGCCACCCACCTGTGCCCACCAACATGTGCCCACCAGTGCCACCCACCTGTGCCCATCAGTGCCACCCACCAGTGCCCATCAGTGCAGCCCAGCAGTGCTGCCAGTCAGTGCCACCAGTCAGTGCCCAACGGCCACCTCATTAGTGCTGCCTATCAGTGCCGCCTATCAGTGCTGCCTATCAGTTCCCATCAGTGCACCTATCAGTGCCCATCAGTGCCGCCTATCAGTGCCCATCAGTGCTGCCTCATCAACGCACATCAGTGAAGGATAAAAATTACCTGTTTGAAAAATTTTATAATAGAAACAATGAAACTTTTTTTTTTTTTAAGGTTTTGCACTTTTTTTGTTTATAGCGCAAAAAGTAAAGTGCGCAGCGGCGATTAAATACCACCAAAAGAAAGCTCTATTTGTGAGAAAAAAATGATAAAAATTTCATATGGGTACAATCTTGCATGATCGAGCAATTGTCAATCAAAGTGCGACAGCGCTGAAAGCTGAAAATTTGCCTGGTAAAGAAGGGGGTATAAGTGCCTGGTAGGCAAGTGGTTAAAAAGAACCCCTCCCGCCTCCCAATCTCAGGGTTAATTTTCCTCCTACATGATCTTCTGGGTTGAGTGAGTAGTTACCTAACCAGAAAATCCAGCATTGCCCTGCAGCCGCATGCCAGGTACAGTGCCGCCATATTCTTTGCTAAGGTCATCAGGAGGTTGGTTGTCTCCTCCGTTTTCTACATACCCCTGTGACATGGGTATCCAAGGAGGCTTTGCGCTGGGGTGGGATGTAATTTTTGCCTTGGCAAGAGAGGGATAAGCATGGGATGTATTCTGTTAGAAAATGTATTTACCCCCTCCCCCTCAAAAAAAGAATATTGTGATTTCCTGAAATAGGCGGTATTAGCAAAAGGCGGTATTAGCAAAAATAAGCCATCATGTAAATGGTCACAAAGGTCCATTTTAGCCTCTTTAGACCCATGTAACACACGTTTGGCAGCAAATTGAGTGGGCTTTAACCCCCAACATTCCACACATATGAGTCTATGGGTGGCCAAGGTTTCTGTGTGCTCGCAGCACAGTGAACAAGCTGTAATAGACAGCTCCTGGTCTCTAGTAAACATCAGGAGCTGGCAGGACTGGCTCCCAATCATATGATCACTGTAATAACCAATCACAGTTGGTCACATGATTGGGCAGTCATCCCACCCCTGGGTAAAAGACCCTGCTAAAGTGATGCCAGAGCTGGGCAGGAAGGGGTTGACACCTCACCACTATATCCAGGGTCCAGGGGCGTATTTACCACAAGGCACTTGCCTAGGGCGTCATTTTTCAGGGGGGGCAGCACCTCCCCCTAGAAGAAGGGATGAACGAAGGGACACGTGCACCATGGAAACCAGGTGGAATCAGAGAGAGGTTGCAGGCTGCTTGATGGTGTATGTAGAGCCTGGCTCTCACTCCCGGGGATGTCCAGAGCTGTGAAGTTGAGTGTCTCTCTGTCGCTGGGGGGGAGTGGAAGGCTCTCCTGGGTGGGGGGCAGGGGTGTTTTTGGTCAATGTCATTCTCTCTCCGTGGGAGTGGAAAGGGGGGTTGTGTTGTCCGTGGGGGGGCAGGTGTTTTTTTTGTTGCCTAGGGCAGCACAAAACCTAAATACACCACTGACTATATCGTAAGTATCAAAGCAATCAAAGAGTAGTTCCAACAATCTCTGATGCAAAGAGCACGAATTTTGCCCAGTAAGTCAACAGATGACATAGGCCACTGAAAAACTATTTATATGTTGCGGGTGTAAGTTACTGTGACGGAAAAATAATGAGGCAGTAAAATCTGCCCAGAAACTGCTGATGCTGCACTGTATTTCACAGTACTCTGGCTTTTGTCAGATTCCCATTTTGTAAATAGATCCCGCAGTGTGAAAGTAAAAGCTGAGATTACTTCTTATTACATACTAAAACACCACAATAATTCTTACTGCCACTTTCCCATACACCAGTCCTAAGCAATATAATTATCGCTTCTCCGCTGATTTAAATAATAGCAAAGTATACATTTTCCAATAATAGAGCTTTTTCATCTGACATTTCAAATTTAAAACCTATATTTACTGCTATGTCGCTAATAAGGATTCCACTATACTCTAGTCAGAGACAGAAGGAATGACTACCACCAGCTGTAATTACCACGGATTACCCCATATTACAAATGTTTAGAAACGTGATCATGGAAATTCTATACCTGAAACAGTCTGTTCAAACATACCTAATGTATATATATATATATATATCTTGTGTGTGTGTATATATATATGTATGTGTCTGTGTATATATGTATGTATGTGTCTGTGTATATATGTATGTATGTGTCTGTGTATATATGTATACATATATATATATATATATATATATATATATATATATATAAAATTGTAAACCACCCACAGACCCTCTGTTCTATTGATTTACTTTTCACTGCTGGCAAGTCCAATGGCTATGGCAGAATTTTATCAATTGTTTCTGCTTGATTAAATCAATGTCTAAGTGTCAAAGCACAAATGGTAATAGAGATCACTTAAAGTGGTTGTAAACCTCTAAAATTAAAAAGAAACAAAGCATATCCCTCTATAGTTTGCACTTGCCTCAATCCAAAGTGTTTAGTGTGGTTACAACCTGCTCTCTCTTCTCTCTGCTATCTGCATGAGTCACTTCTAACAATATATGCCGACACCCGAGTCCCCCTTCCAGCACACAGCAAGTGATTGGCAGCTTCAGCTGTACGGGTTTCCCTATATTTGTGTGGGTGTGGGTGGTATGTCCTTTCCCTTCACTCAGGTCTCAGATTACACCCAGCTTCCTGCTGTATGCAACGGCAGATGCCCGTCACCTGCCTTCTGGAGCTAGGGAATGCTGTGTAAAATGTGTGCTTTAGGAGGCTGTAGGTAAGAGAGGGTGTGTAGATAAACAGGTACAACTTATGTAGAAGGATTTGTTTCATCTCTGTGTATCACCTGAGGCCAATCATATCACTGGGTATATGGAAGGGTTTACAACCACTTTAAAGGATACGTGCACTTTCAGTACTTTATTTTTTATCCCCACTTGTCTCTGCACTCTGCTCAAAAATGTCAACAGCAAGGGGCTCCAGAAGTTTTAGCGCATGGTTTTCCAACCTTAAAATATACCTGTTCAGAAGGAGATATGAAATGTCAGAAAATACTAGCTGCCTGGCTGTCTCTGGCTTCAGTCAGCTATGATTAAGCACTGGTTTAGCATGAAACGCGTTGGCTGTGGAAGCTGTATTCCCCTGTTATGTTGTGGAGATGTATTTTACTGAAGATTTCATAATAAAGGTGATTTCTTAGATGTGCTGCTGACTAGAACCCCTTTTTTCTTTCATCTCTGGCTTCAGTACTTCTGAGACCTGGAACAAAAATGTATGATTAGCAGAATTTTTTTTTTTTATCTCTATAATTAATTAGGAGAGTTTAGAAATGGCAATCTCCATATTTCTATAATGACAGGTGTACTTTGTAGTGGGTTCCTCTCCCTATAGTATCTACCCCCAACTACCACTAGAGGGAGCTACAGTATATCCTGGCCATGTATTTTTTTCCCCATCATCTCCCTCTAGTGGTGGTCATAAGCAGCTGCTGCAGGAAGAAAAGATGTAAAAACACTGTCTCAGTACTCCTCCTGTCTCTCCACTCGTCCAATCATTGAATGCCTTGTATTCATTGAAAAAACACAAGGTGTTGTATGAATGGCAGCAGTGCTAAGCAAGTGACCCCCTGTGGTTAGTAAGGGGAAGGCAATCGATTAGAACCTGGAAGATTGTGACCTTCACTGTATTCAGTGCCGACTACTACAGTAATTGATCATTTCCCCAATGGCCCACCAGATACAAGATATAGATCATTTCACCATGCCAAGCTGGACCGGTTTGGCATTAAACATAATTCATGGAGTTCTGTTTTAAGTATAGACATTTTTCAGTTTTGGATGGAGTATGGTTATTATCCCCACTTTCTGGCTCAGTATTCTACAAGGGGAAGACAGGGGTGAATATCCCCACACGGACTTCATCTATGCCTTACCTATTCTATGCTTCTACATACAGGTACCAGGGGTGGACTGACCATTTGGAAACTCGGGCCCTACCTGAGGGCCCAGGGTCAGTAGGGGGCCCCATGAGATGCCCCTGGTACCTTTTTCATAGGCTTTTTTGAGTTTGGGCAAGGACACAGGGGCCCCATGATCCCCTATTGCCCGGGGGCCCCATGAGTTCTCAGTCCGCCCCTGACAGGTACTATATATAACCACTGCTTCTCAGTTATGCAGCAGTTAAAATAGCATGGATGATATGGTACTGACTATGCTTGAAGTACACTTTTAGTCCAGTATTATTGGTCCGTGTGAGAAGTTGTTTCTATTTACACCCGTTGATGCCATTTACAGGATTGTGGCATTCATATATCCATAACCCCATTGGCTGCAGCTCTATTATATAATTAGAACCTGCTTCCTCTCTGATCTATGGCCTGCGTTCTTAGGTTTTTGAAGCATAATAAATTTTATTTTGGAGACCTGTGATAGCTGTCTTTAAATGAAACGGCTTTGGAACAAGGAAGCAACTGGTGTGCTGTGAAAGTGATTTATAGAGGCCCAGGAGACTGCCAACATGAGTCTGCAGTAAGACCAAGGCATCCAAATCACTTAGAAGTGGTTGGCCCTGCAACAGCAATTGCCTCATCAGCAAATGGACACACTGCATAAAACTAAAATACGCTGAGATAATTATTCGCACAAAGTAAAGCAATTATATTTCAAATTTTACTTAATTATTGCCATATATACCGTGTGTGTATATATATATATATATATATATACATACATACAGTATATACAAGGAATATAAAGTGGTTCTAAAGGCTCAAGTCTTTTTACCTTCATCCATTAAACCTGTTTGACCCTTACCCTAGGTTCACATCTGTGCGGAACCTACGAAAATCTGTCCGAAAATCCGTGCACCCGCACCACCCGCACAGATGAATGCGGACCCGCGGGCGGGTGCCATTCCTTCTAATGGCATGCCGCCCGCACTGGAACACGCAACCGTAATGGGAACCGAGGTTCCCGTACGGGCTGCGTTTTCCAAAGAAGTGCCTGTGTAAAACAGGGCCCGCACGACCGCATAGATGTGAACCAGGGGTTAAGCCTTATCAGCTAAGAGTCCACTTTATCTGGTGAATGCGGCTTGGATTGGAAATCATGGATGGTTTGGGCACCATGGAAAATATTTTTTCAAGCACTTTTTTTCTAACTGGAGCACATTATTTATTTTTATTTTGGACTTTTGGACTTTTATTATAATTTTTATATAATATAATTTTTTTGTATCATTTATTACATATGTTTTATTTTATGTTTGTAAATTTCTGTAGGTCTTTAGCTGACACTCTGGGATTCTTCTTTACCTCATGCAGCATTCTGTGCTGTGCTCTTGCAGTCATTTTTACAGGACGACCACACCTAGGGAGAGTAGCAACAGTGCTAAACTTTTCCATTTGTAGACAGTCTGTCTTACCGTGGACACATGAACATCAAGGCTTTTGGAGATACTTTTTGTAACCCTTTCCAGCTTCATGCAAGTCAACAATTCTTGATTGTAGGTCTTCTGAGAGCTTTTTACTGCGAGGCATGGTTCACATCAGACAGTGCTTCTTGAAACCAGTAAACCCAAAACAGGTGTGTGTTTTTTAAGGGCAGCACAGCTGTCAGCAACACATCCAATATCATCACACTGATTGGAGTCAAGGTTGGCTCACTCCTGGCTCCAATTAGCTCTGGGAGAAGTCATTAAGCTAGGGCCTCACATACTTTTCCTCCCTGCACTGTGAATGTTTACATGTTATGTGCAATTAAACCATGGCAACATCTAATGTTTGTGTAGTATTATGTTCAGCAGACTGTGTTCTTCTATTGTTGTGACTTAGATGACGTTCAGAGCACATTTTATGCCCAATTCATGCAAAGCTCCACGTAATCCCAAGGGGTTCACATTCTTTTTCTTGCAACTGTATATGTATATATATATATATATATATATATATATATATATAGTATATATACACACACACTGATCATGTGTGTGCGTGTATATATATATATATATATACACACATATAATCAAAAAGCATTTGGCATATACACAAAATACGTTACCAGTGCAATCCACGCTTTTCCTTGCTCAGTCCATGAAGAAACTCTTTGTTAAACAGTACATCAGCATGTACAAGCCACACAACAATTTCCAGTGTCCTCACTCTTCCACAGGTGCATGTATAATTAATACAACAAATGTGTCTAATTAGATAATGCTCAGAACTAGAAGCCACACAGGCGCAGCGTCAGACTCCCCACTGCAAACTCTATATTTATTCATAGACTCCATTCATGAATATGCTACAATTAATTTCTAATAAAAGTCATTAACTCTTTGGCTTGAAAAATAACCAAAAATCAATCAAAAGGAAAAAAATTTAATTAACAAATTGCAACAGTCACAATACTAGAGCAGTGGAGAACTCCTGGCGATCATCCCCATTCTGTTGTTCCCTACAAATTAAATATAAAAGGTTAAAGTGTTACTAAACCCACAACAGTAAAATCAGTCTGTAAATGAAGTAAGCATGCTTGTTATACTCACTATAGAACCTAAGGGGTAATCCTCTGCATTGTGAAAAAAAGGCTGTTTGATCCTGTCTTCTCTGCCCATCTTGTTGAAATGACCACCTGATACAGACAGATTTAGACACATGCACATGCTCAGTCTGGTGTGAATTGCTAGACAGGTTTTTTTTTTTTCTTGGGAGAGTGCATGTGATCAGCACAGAGCCAATCAGCACTGTGCAGACAGAGGATCAGGACTTTCACATCCTCCTTTTGCAGAAAGAAACCTCCTCCTACAAGCTTTAACCAGTGCTCTGCTGAAGTCACAAGACTGCTCTAACTGCTGATGAGAAAAGGTATTTAGCACTTTATATTTACTAAAGTAATTGAATTTCCATGTTGTGCGTACTGTGGGAGACCAGATATAGAGAATTCAGGGTCCTGGGTTTAGTATCACTTTAAAGAAGAATTCAAGATATGGTTATTTTTTATATACTGCTTATATACTGCAGCGGGCCTGATGCATTGTGAACATAGCAGGTTGGCTGCCTGGCATGGGCTCCATTCAGACAATTCTTTGCATTTTCTAAATGAATAAAAAGCATTCTGCGATTGGAAGAGGTGGATAGACTGGATGGTGACATCACACATTCCACCTTGTCCAATTAGAGAATGCTTTACATTCATTCAGGAAATACAAAGCATTCTCGGAATGGTGCTCATGCGGAGTGGCCGACTTCCTCTGTTCACAGTGCATCAGATGGGACCCAAAAGGAAATAAAGATCACTGACGTTGGGTCAGTGATTTCCAGTTTCCACGGAGAACAGCCAGATAAGGTATATACTGTACATTGTTACATTGGAAGAAGCTGTACCAATGTAAATAAGTAAACATATAATACGCCTGGAATTTATCTTTAATACAAAATATGCTACAGAAACAAACTTCTGGATATAGTGACCTCAATTTGTTTATGCACCACACCTTCCGTTTTTAGAGAATCAATGTGCATCCTTCCTCCAACTGCCACCTTCCATTCTTGGTCTAGAAACATCCTCCAGCACCAAAAACCAGAGATCACTCTTCATATGCCTACGTTCTATAAAGTGTCTATAGTCGATAGAGACTGGTAACACAGGATTCCACCTCTGGATTGAAACTCAATGATGGGAGATGTGGTTCCTGTATAGTTTCCCCAGCATAAGTTAAGTTGGAAAGGCAAATCAAAGTGCAAATACCCTTTTGCTGACTAGAAAAGTTCATGGTACCTCCACTGTTGCCATTGTTGGGCCTTTGTATTCTGCTCTTTTCCCGAGCACCTAATCTGAGTTTACATTAGAAATTAGAAGGTTAAGAATTTGTTAGTTCGACAAAACGTTTCCATCCTGTTCCTTTGAATTTTCTTGTTACTACAGTCAAAAATGTACATCAATTTGACCCCCAAATAACAATGAGAAAATTGAACAAACATTCATAAAATGAAAAATGTCACACATATGATCACTAGTGCTACAATCAGCCTTATAACTGTAGAATTTTGTTAAGAAAATTGTTGTTTTCAGCACAGTTGATTGATCACAGGCCAACACACATTTTGATGCCTCGAATGTTAGACCTGTGTTTGGGTATATTTGACCTGCTGATTCCAAAAATGGCACCATTTTTTTTCCTATCAGCTCTAGTTTTTAAGAAACAGCATAAATGTCATACAGGTAGTGTGATATCGCAACACGATAGGTTCTGTAGGCTTTTTCTTAAACTGAATTTGTATGTAAGTTGGAACAGGTCATTTTTTGGCTTGAGTTACAATTAAAAAAAGTATTTTTAAGTTGTGGATAGCATAGGGAAGGGGTGATGTGGGATTGGTGACAGGTTCTCTGGACAGTAGGTGGCAGCTAGATTGGCCACCTGGCAGTTTCTGAGACCAGCGTGGTGTCACGCTGCCTCCATTCCTAAAGCGGAGTTCCACTCACACTGTAAAAAAAAAATAAGTCAGAAGCTACAAAAACTGTAGCTGCTGACTTTTAAAAAAAACAGCCACTTACCTGTCCCACGATCCCACGGTGTCCTCCCCGAAGCCCGTTTCACCGGCTGTCCTGTGTTCCAGGTGCCAGCACCTTCAGTGTGAGTACTTGGATGTGACAGCTTGCGGCTTCACAGCCAGATGCCCACTGCGCATGCGCGAGTAGAGCTGTGCTTCCTGAATGGCCCTGTCATCTTCTTGGACCTGTCATGTGTCTCAGAAGACTACAGGGAGGGAGGGTAAGAGGACAACTTCTGCTTCTGATCGCCTATGTGATAGCAGCGGAAGTGGGAGCGGGTATCTGTCAATTTCAGGCACCCACTCCCCAAAGGTGCTAATCCCTAATGGGGATCGGGGAACCAATCTTTAAAGCGGAACTTCCCATTTTGGGTGGAACTCCGCTTTAAGTACAAGTCGTATGTAAGTCAGATGTTTGTAACTCGGGGACTGCCTGTATACCACTCTTCACTTTGTAACTCGGGGACTGCCTGTATACCACTCTTCACTTTGTAACTCGGGGACTGCCTGTATACCACTCTTCACTTTGGTTGCCCATCAAAATCTGAATGTTTTAATTCAGTTTTATTTATCCTCCTTGCAGCATGAAAGAAACAG